CCAGGGGCTATTGGGAGGGGGACATGGGGAGTTGTTTAATGGATTCAGAGTTTCAATTTTGCAAGATGGAAAAGTTCTAGAGATTGTTTGCACAATAATGTGAATATATTTAACACTACTGAACTATACACTTAAAAATTGTTAAGATGATAAATTTTGTTACATATATTTCATTACAATTAAAATTTTTGTTTTAAATGAAGTGGGCTGCATTAAAAGAGGTTGCTAGCCTTAGGACTCGCCCCATTCATAGGCCACACTCCTAAGCAACCCCCAGATGGCGCTGTCTTCCTGTCCCCATCACAACTTGAAGATTTGGCTAGTCTCCAGCACAGGAGGTGTAATTAATTCACTGGGTTCTGAGCAGATACTTAAATAAAGGTTCCACATGAAGGATTTTCATAGGTTTCTGCGCCTCCCAGGGAGAGGGACATCAGAGACCCAGCTAATCTTCCTAGCTCCTCAATACTTCTGACCTTTCCACCCCTTTCCCACAGCTCCCCCTTCAACCTGGGTCCACCCAGATCCCCACCCCTGGTTTCCTGAGCAAGTCCCCCACACCCCCTCCCATTGTGGCCAGAGGGGTCTTCATAAAGCACAAATCTGACCTCTCCCTCCCTGCTCAGAGGCTCCCCAGTGCCCTGGGGAGAGAGTTTAAGTTTCATACAATATCCCACAAGGCCTTGTGTGACATGGCCCTGGCCTACCCACCATTCCAGCCCCATCTTGCCTCCTCAAACTCTTTGCCTAAGCCACCTTGGACTTTTCTTCAAATAGGTCTTATTTCTAAGCCTATGCACATTCTGTTTCTTCTGCCTAGAAGGGTCTCCTCTTGAACAACCCTCCTCCCCATGTCCGTTTTCTCCTGGAGAACTACTTATGCTTCAGGCCTCAACTCAGATGGCCCCTCTTTCAGGAAGCCCTCCCTGATCCCCAGGCTGAGTCAGAAGTCCCCTTTAGGCTCACCCATCCCAGCCCTACCCATTCTGGTTTGGCACTGTCTGGGGATGGGTCTGTTTGCCCCACTAGACCCAGGAGGGCCATCTCCATTACCACTGTGCTTCTAGAACATGACTGGGAACTGAAAATGCACTTGGCAAAAAAATTATGGCCAAGGTCAGGGTTTGTGTGTGTCCGTAAAGTTCACTCAGGTCCCCAAAGCCAAACTCTGCACTGTGGCCATATGCCTGGGGCCCTGTGCTGGTCGTCCTGTCTCCTTGACTCTCTTGCCAAGAATGTACTCCGCCCCCCCCTCCCTTCACCTGTCTCAGTCCTGCTGGCCCTTCTCTGACCCAAGTTGGATATCACTTAAGAATCTGAGTTGCAGGTCGGCGGAGTGGCGTTGGTTAAGAGCTGGCTTGGGACGCCAGAGGGCCCCAGTTCGGATCCCACAT